AAGGCAAGTGGACGATAATTGCTTGGATTGCAGTACTGTTGACACCCTATTAATAAACTGCGGTTGATTAATATGGTTCAGCATTGTTCAGCAGACATCTTACCACAATGCAAACCATTTCTTTAATGCGGGTTACGGTCAGGACGGGGGGAGCTTACGCTGGATGCACCCAACTCCACGTGTGTAGGTTTGCAACCTCATCTACTATTTTGTCTCCTTTCTCTTGGAGCCAAATAATTTGGCAAGACTGCCGTCAGACAAAATTTTATGCTTTCTGGCTGTTTTGAAAAGACACTACTGTACCCGGTCAGCCGCGGATCGAATTAGCAAGTGAGATTTGTGTGGCAGGCGTGGAATCGTGGAACGGTCAATTATCACACCGTTTTAAATTGTATTAATAAAAGGCTTCCCGGGTCCAAAATTGAGCGCGCAGATCCTTTCCTGGAGGAATCTAGGGGGAAAGGTTGTAATAGCTCTGACCTTCAAGAAGCGCAACTTTTGTCTGGCCAGTGTAGTGCTTAGTTGGCCCTGAGAGAAGCCAAAGGATAGACTTGTATTTGTTCCAGAATTGCACTGCGAGCCCGTATTTTCGCAGGTAGTCGTTCAGATTCACGGTTCACCCATCGATCAGTCAGCACAGGTCCATGATCCCAATGAGAAGAGTGATAGTGCAAATCCGGAGACAAATCTTCAGTATCCCAGTGATTCCATCTATGGGTGTGTCCTTTTATAGGATACCTCCAAAATGGAGGGATTGCCTATTGGTTTTCCTTTAAAACCATAGTCCACAAAAAGAGCCCTATGAAAAGACGAAGGAACATGGCTGGCTGGCGAAACACCGATCGGGGTCCACTGGGTCGGGGTGCCCCAAAAGGGACCCTTCCCCACGTGTCCAAAATGTGGGGTGAAGTAGAGACCCTCTGGACATCATTTCGGTGGGTATTCATGTCCACCACTTGTGAGGTGGTTCAAACTCTGAACAATTATTTTGCTGTACAAGGGAAGTCATGGGGCAGCGACAAGCGAACACAAACAAAACAGAGATCCGTGATCTTCCACAGACACAGGCAGGCTGTCAGCTGATTCTCAAAAGGAAACCAGGAAAAACCCTGGTAGACTGAGGTATTACAAGGGGCTGATTCATTACTGATACTCTTATAGCATGCCTAACTTCGGTTGTACCCCGGCCGGTATAGTATGTTTTGTTTCTCAACATGGTGGTCCCCTAAAATGGTTGGTGTGCTTGTGGTTTCCCTTTGACCAACCAAAAAGGGCGCCTTTGGTGATGCAGACAGATGTCACCAGTCTCGTCTCTTTTTTCCGCTTGGGCAGGCACCACCTGAAGCAGCGGCTCAATGAGCGGCCAGGCGGGTAGGCAGGCTATTCCGCGGATGCCGCATGCATTTCTTGGCGGCTTGTCCGATGCAAGAACCCTAAGTGACTTCACATGTTTCACCCGCTTGGCATCCTGCAGGGATGCCAAGCTGTTTCACCGCTCGGACACGGTCAAGCGTCGTTAGTCTGGGCAAAGTGCAGCGATCTCGCTGGCCGGGGGTTTGCAAAATGAAGGTGCATCAGTTGGGGATTCCCCGTTCAGGGTGCTGAGCGATTATAGTTTGCCCAGCTCAGTACTACGGACCCCGCTCAAAAAGTTTGGACTTTGACCTTTGACCAACTCAGAAAGTGAGACACATCTTCAATGCTTGTGGCTCGTTCAGATTCTATGCTGACCCCTCGAAGTCTCACAAGGCTCTCTTGGAGTGCCCCCAGCGCTTGAAGTTTGTGTTGCAGGAAGCTTTGCATTCACAGGTCGATTTCTCGAGTTTTTGTACGAGCAGACCATGGAAAAGGGACAGGCCCAACAAGCAAATGCAGCTTTCCGGCATGGTGACTCATTGCAAACGGTTTTGAGTCAACAGGAGGATCTTGACAAGAACTTAGTTAACTAGTAAAGCGATCAACGTTTCCTGACCACCAACAAAGTGCCCACTCAAAGCATGCGATGGCAACCTGATAACTATTTGGCACGCGCAGGTGTCTGCCAGTACATGGAGCTCCAAGAAATGAACTTGTCGGTTGAACTTTGGTTTCATGGGCATTCACGGGTGTGTTGCAACATGCCCAAACATATGTTTGTTGTCGCGAGGGCTTTCTGTTTGTTCTTTCTTGATACGAATTGAACATCCGCAAGGTTCTATATTGTACTTTCCACCCTCAGTATTCAAGTTTATTCGCGACTTCTCACGTAATCCTTTTGGCGGAGGGACACTCACGGTGTATCATACGCACAAGCAGCGAAGCGAGCACGGCTTCGAATCTCGCTAGGTCCAAGGCTTGGCGTGCAGTCGCTAAACAAATGCGTGGGAAAAGCAAAGTTTCACAACGTCAAGCTGTCCAGGACCCTCAAACCACCCGAAACAATTGGATATTACCCCAAGCAGACTGGGCCCTTTCGCAGTTTCAAGGGTGATTGCGGGCGCGCTTAGTGTTTTCATCCAGCGAACTTGTCACATCCTTCGACCGCTCTTGACATTTGTTCAAAGAAGTAGGAGCCCATCTAGCGGAATCCATCCTCCCTGCTCAGGCGCATCACTATGGGCCTGCCTAAAGCGCAGATTTTAGCCTACCTTTCCATTCACCAGGGTTCCTCTTGCGGTTTTGCATATTTTTTACAGGGAAGCCAAAGGAAGACCGAAATTCATTTTTTTGGGGGGCCGATTCTTGGTGGATCCGGCAAAAAAGAACGACGCGCTTCTTCACTAGTCTTGCTGACCTCACTTCGGATGACGTCAGGGTCTACCTTTACCAGCTTCTAGACGCGACTTGTATTTTGGACACTTCTATTGAGTGGTGACCAGGGTGAAGCCCATTTAAACAAGCTCCTTTGAGTTTCCATGTCAAACGGACCAGGGCCTCGCTCAATCACATTGTGCCGCTGGTGGAAACAACCGATTTGCGATTTGGGCCTGGCCGAGAAGGATTGGATTTGGCTTCACTGCTGCACGACAAACGTACGTATAAAGCAGGAGACATGTCTTTGCCAGGGGCCTGCAAAGGCGACGCAACTACAAGGTCCTTTCCGAGGTAATACAAGGGGCTAATGGTATTCCCCTGTAATTATTGCCAAATGTGTTTCAGCCCCGTGTATTATGAGACCAGCATTTTGTGCTTTGCATTTGTTTTGCCACTGTTGCTTTTTTGTGGGAGGCGGCTGAATGAGTATCTGAAGGGTTTCAACTGATTGGCATGGCTACACCCAACCATCCACTGGGCATTTGAATGTTATTCCCTCGGGATTAAGCCCGATTTGAAGCGATTTGGCCTTTGCCTATCTTGAGCTCGCGGATGGGGCGCGTTCGCAAGATCAGCGGTGAAGATGTGATGACTGAGGATGAATTTGCTGCATGGTGGAATCAGAGTGAGCACCTGCACGGCAACGTTTTCATTGATGTGCTAAGGCGCCATTTGGCCATCAAGCTACAGGTGAAGCACTACAGGCGGCTTGCGCTGGTTTGCGGCGATGCAAGGCTTTCAGTACAGAGCCATTGGACCGATGCGGAGCTGGTGGTTGTGATGCGGTCCTTCTTGACAGAGCCAGATGACGGGGCAGCACTGGTGGAGGCGGCTCTGCGTGGGGACCTTGCTGGAGTCGTGAACCTCCTGGACAGGCCTCTGGACCCGGACACCGAAGCAGTTCGCCCAGATGACTCAGAAGAAGAGTCATATAATGACCATGGAGTCATGGTGACACCACTGCAGCTGGCTGCCAGGATGGGCCATGAGGAAGTTGTGCATTGCTTGCTGCAAGCCGGCGCTGACAAGGACAAGACCGACAATGACGGACAGACTGCCATGCACATGGCTGCCAGGATGGGCCATGAGGAAGTCGTGCGTTGCTTGCTGCAAGCCGGTGCCGACAAGGACAAGGCTGACAATACGGGGAAGACTGCCATGCACTTGGCTGTCATGAACACCTCTGTGGAAGTCGTGCGTTGCCTGCTGCAAGCTGGCGCTGACAAGGACAAGGCCGACAATGACGGACGGACTGCCTGGCGCTTGGCTGTTGTGGGTGGCCATAAGCAAACTTTGCGTGTGTTCCGGCCCCCCCGCGCTCGCGGCAAGTCCCAGCCAGAAAAGATCGTTTCACCCGACAAGCGCAGGCGATCCCGTACAAAGCCGTTGGTCACATCACGCGCGGGGGGTGTCCTCGGGAGTCCAGGAAAGAGGATCCTTTGCTTTGGAGGGAACCACTCCGCCAGGTAGATGAGGATTGTTCGGACACCCAAATACACGAAGATGCGGTTCAAACTTGTTTGCCAATGCAAAACAGGGCATTGATTGGTGCTTTGAAGCAGATTCACATTCAACATGGATGAAGGGCAGCAAGGTACAGGTGCAGATCTCCGCCCACAAAGAAGGTCCCGTAATTCCAGCTTCTTCATTCTGGAAGAAGCGACCTTCACGTTGAATCGGAATTAAGTCCACTGAGCCAACTCGCAACTCGCACTGGGCATGGGATTTTGATCTGGCTGTGGGTCAAAATTAAACAAACAGGGGACCCCAGATTTTAGTTCATATTTTCATTTACCAGGGTTGAATTTTGGGTACCCATTTTTGACCCGCAGCCATCTGGACCTTAAGTCAGGCGGCAATGGCTTTCTGCGCATAGGACTCCAGGCACTTTTCTTCCACGTGAGGATTTGCAGCAGATCGGTTCAGCGATGGGCGGTCAGTGAAGGTCAGGTTGCGACCCAAACCTCCAAAAAAAAGTCGCCATGACCCCAAATGGAGTCATGATCCCTTGAGTTGGGGTATGTATGGTTTCTCAAAATAGGGACTCTAACATTGGTGAGGTGTCCTTTTGGTTTCGCTGTAGATGAAGCCAGGGCACCAATCCGAACGGGTGTGGCTCAAAATTAAGCAGGGGTTACGCAGGTTTCAGTCTTTCCCATTCAAAGTCACCCCTTTTTGAGACAAGCTGAGTTCAGATACCCACGCAG